CTCCTCCTCCAGTCTGTATGCAGTATTTCATTGGTCAGCTAACTGATTTCCCTCTTGGTACTAAAAAAATAAAAAATAAAATAAATCAAATGATTGCCTTTTACATTCTGATCTATTGTTGAGTCATGAGAAATTTAATTTTCTTGTTTTTTTTCATTTGGTCTGTGGCCATTGCCAGTCTGTTTAGAGGACTGTAGGAAAATGATTGTTTTGCTGTAAAACTACATATCTGCAGGACACACACACCTACCTCGCGGGTCAACATGCAATTACACCTTAGGGCTTCTCCAGTCTTATAAGTGCTCTTGACGTTGGAAGTGGCCTGGACAGCAATACCCCAGTGTTAACCCTAATCTGAGCTGAACTGCCTGTTGGTTAACCCTCTGCCGTGGAGTACTGTGACCACTGCCTGCTTTTTTATGTCGTGCTGACTCACAGTAACAGCCCTACAGCAGCAGCAGCAGCGGTAAATGCTGCAAAATAAATAAACTCGTTGAAAACTCTCCCAATATAATCTGGAGAGAAATGGTCAGCTGAGACGGAGAGTGGAGGATTCTAAATCAGAATCTTGGAGGGAAATAGAAGAAAAACAGGAAATATATACAAATGTAAGGATTTGATTTAACAGTTAAAATGTTAAAATAAAGACATGTACTTCATATGAAGGGCTGAATGTAATCAAATGTTATGTCAAAATGTTATTACAAATCACAACAAGTGATTCATAACAATAAATGGTCAAATCAAAAAAAGTTATTATAGTGAAAAGAAAAGTGATTCATAACAATAAATGTTCAAATAAAAAAAAGTTATTATAGTGAAAAGAAAACATTGCATTATTGCATTGTTTCCCAAAGACTGGGTCGCGACCCTCAGGTGGGTCACAAAAGATTCTTTTTTCAGGTCGTCTCGCATCCTGTTTCCCAGGAGTTTACGAATAATGTCTTTAGACTTGGGTCATGAAGGTTTGTGACTTTTAAAATATGGGTCCCCAGGAAAACAAAGGTTTGGGAAACACTGCATCATCGGGATCAATTCAGTGTCTTTGAACATGTCGTGACACAGACGCACACAACAACAACTTCCTGGGGAGCAGTGGTCACTTTTGGAATTGCACAAGGAACAAGTGAATCAGTGTTGGCTCAGTTGGCCATGGTGGGATTGGAACCTGTGATTCTTTGAACATGCTCTACCCTATAACCACTGAGCCACTGGCTGCCCCAACGTGGAGGAGCTATAGGAAACCCCATCTCAGCTTTGAATGGTTCCAGCCCACGGTGATTGTGTGCCATTCTAAATATCCAGCTCTATGCTAAGAACCTGAGTGGTTACTAACCAACCAGCTGTTCCCAAAAATGGGATTCTCCACTGATTCTCCTGGGAAGAATTCTGATCAAACACAGACTGTGCAGCAACACTGGGAGTTTTACTTCACAGTTACTCCCTGCTCCCATCACTGGTCCCATCACTGGTCCCATCACTGGTCCCATCACAGCTTTCATGGTTCTAATCTTCATGCCACGTCCCTCAGATTTAACCCCCCCACCGTGTCACCGTATGCTCCTGACATCATTCCTGACGAGCCTTGTTCTCCAAATACTTCTCCCCTGGGTGTCACTCTGCCGCAGGCGTTTTTGTTTTTTTTTTCAGTTTGTTTTCTTTTGCAGTTCTATTTTTTAAATGCGGTGCCTGTTGTTTATCACCTCATCAGGTGCTGCTCTGTGGATGCTGCTGTGCCTTGGTTAAGCCAATGAAAACACACACGCTTTACAAAATAAATATATGCATCTCAGCAGTACCCATAGACGCAGTAATAATTAAATCATGCGTATACTGCAAAGTATGGCCGTATCCCATTAGTCATTGTGCGGGGCTTTTCATTAGGGCTAATTAGACAGACAGGTCTGTTGGACTGCAGTGAAAAAGAAGCAGTTTTTGTTTATCTGTTGTTTCCTCTGTGGTTTGTTTGGTTGAGAAAGGACTTCGTGTGACTTTGTGCTTCCTGCTGCAGCGACTGTGAAATACAGTAAATATTTAGGGCTTAGAGGGGAAGGAAAATATTTATTTCTTTGATTAGGTCACGGACACCAAACTCGAGGCCCACGGGCTGGAAATGGGCTCACCAGACCCTACCATATCTGACCCTCACACCTGATGGATAATAACAGTGTAGGTCAGCTGAGTTTATATTGTTGATTTACCTGTTTTATTATGTGTTGGTACAGAGTAGGACACAAAAAAAAAAATCAATCAAATCAAATGAGGAAAGAGATACAACTACTATATTTATGTATATTATATACATATATACATTATATATATGTATAATTTATACATATACTGTGTTATAAATGTATATGTATATATATCATTATATACCATATACACTGTATATGGTATATGCACAGTTCTTATATACCCTATATATATATATATATATATATATACATATATATACAGTATATGTATATATATATATGTGTATATATATATATATATGTATAGGGTAAATAAGAACTGTGCGTATTTAAATAGTTTTTGTAGCGGGGTCATGTGTGGTTCAAAGGTTCAAGAGTGTCATCCTCGACTGCCGTGACTGCCGTCACAATGGTATCGAGTTTTTTGTCGAGTTCCGACTCGAGTCGTTCCCACATTACCTCCAGAAATGTAACAGTGAAGGAGCAGCTGCAGGTACACACTCCCTGCTGCTGACATTTCAGTATATAACATGATGAGGCGGCATTGTTTGTTCCGTCAAATGCCACAGCCTTTCCCTGGGGCCTTTTAAGTACACCTTGTTGTATTCCACGCAGAATTAGCCTTATTAGTGAGTTATCATCGCAGCACATCAGACTGAAAAGGTTTAATTAGAATTTGTCAACACTGCAGGTCCTTTTTAGTAATGTAAAGTGTTTATTGAAAACAAGACACATTTAGGTAGTTATTCAAACCATGGTTTGAAAAAAAATTAAAAAATAAAGACAGAGATTATACCAAAGTGCATTGTTTAAATAGCTGTTTATTTCCATGATAATGGTGTTAGGAAACAGAGCCATTGTCTGTCCTCAGTCTTTCACTCTTAAGGTTGATGTAGTGACTGTATTCATCTTTCAGACTCTCTGCTCATGAGCCTGATTTGTCTAATATCCTACGCTGCATACAGTAATGTTTCTGAACTAAGGGGCCACCGTACCTCTGGTGTCCTGGACTGTCCTGTTGCTGAATCTGTGGGTGAATGATTGATGACATTATTTAAAGACTCTGTGCTACATACCACAGATTATTTGACATTTCAATTTCCAATGTCAAATATTTAACCATATATCGTTATCTTAGATGGAATATTAGCCTAAAATAATATGTAAAGAAATATTACAGGGCC